GTTTATTTTATATTCGCAGTTTTAATATATAATCTACAATAATAAATCCTACTTTTGAGCTCGTTGATGAAATAAACATGATAAATGGCTTCGTATATTTCTCGAAAGAAGCTTAATAAATCTCTCGGATATGAAATATTAAATTAAGTTGTTTCAGTTCTGATTTCACTGGAAAGTAATGCGTTATACTTTTATGTATCCAAGCCAGATAAAACTCGAAAGCTTCATGCTTAATTATACACTGTTACGAGAGTAGTCGCACAAACTGCACACGGTTCGACTCTCGCTTTTATCTCGCTATATTTCGCACCCGGTAAAACGTCTCCTTCTCCGAACGACCACTTTCATTCATGGTTGCAGCGAAATTTTGCGAGAGCCTCTCGTCACGCCTCGCACAATTAGAAATATTCTCTTAGAATTATTCTCGTTGCCATGAAAAAGGGAAGAAAATCGCTTCCGATATGCACCGAAATTACCGTAACCGACTAGCGAAGGCTACCTTTAGACGAAAGGAACGGAAACGTTATTACCGTAGTCGTCAAAAGTGTGTCAGACTGAATTACTACGTGCTCAACGTGGTGAACTTTTCGAGAGCTACGACGCGCTCCAAAGATTTCCCGTCGCGATGCTTTGGCCGAAATGTTCGTACAGAGAACATTGTAAATGGAAATGAGCCAACTGTAAGCATAGCCGTTCGCCATAGCTGGTGGAAAAAGCGGGAATATATCTTAAAAATGTCTCGACTAACGTTCTCTCTTGCTGATCCCGGATGCGATATATTTTACGAAAATAACGTATGTTTTGACCTATAAAATAGATATTTATATAGAGAACGAATTTTACGCTTTATCACATCTTCAATTTATTTGTGGGAATAAATCCATAGAAATTACCTACTGAATATAAAAACTATCTCAATCATTCTGGCGCCAAATACATTCTAGGGATTTGAACCATATAAATGCCATCTATACTAATATTTTTATATGTCTTTATAAATTATCTGAAATAAATATAATTACTCACGTCCGCAAAAAATCCAAAGAGTTTAAATTTTTATTGTATAATTTTACGAAGCTCTCTTTCTTGATATCTTAATTTTATTATATAATATGTTAATAAACTTTCGCCATATTTTGGAGTGCAAATAATCTTTTTTGTAAATTTTCTATAACGATTAATTTAGATCTGCGTGATTTGACGCACTCGCAAATTCGAACTCTTCGGATCTAGATTATTCAAATATTCGGATTTAAGCAATAAAATTATTGAAATATAAAATTATCCGGATAAAGTTTTAATACAAATTATTCTCTCTCTCTCTCTCTCTCTCTCTCTCTCTCTCACTATTTTCATATTTTGATAGTTAAAGTTTATGAACATGAACGATTAATTTAGATCTGCGTGATTTGACGCACTCGCAAATTCGAACTCTTCGGATCTAGATTATTCAAATATTCGGATTTAAGCAATAAAATTATTGAAATATAAAATTATCCGGATAAAGTTTTAATACAAATTATTCTCTCTCTCTCTCTCTCTCTCTCTCACTATTTTCATTTTTTGATAATTAAAGTTTATGAACATGACACGCGCGCGTTTTTTCGAAAATATAAAGATATTCATATTCAGTAATGTGAAGTATACATTTATGTATATAGTATTGTGGGCGCGGTCCGGGTGTTTCTGCAAAGAGAAAGGAGGGCAAAGACGGTGACCCTTTACAATGGTAATCAATGCCAGAATTTGCAATTACAATTGGTTGGAACGCCAAGAATGTCAACCGCTAAGGTTCTATAGGATGCTCCTGCATCATGTATCTCAGTCACATATCATGCATATCGACGTTAATTCCCTCGACTCTGTTTACCGAGACAGTTTCAAGGTATCGAGCACGAACCCGGAACGTGTATGCACATTGTAAATAGGGTAGCCGCTGTTGGTCACGTAAAAAATATTTAAACAGGATCTATGCTAAAGTTTTATACTTTCCGCCGTACAAACATAACTCAATTAAAATTTTTATATAAATATTCGGATTCGCAACATAAGGAAATTATTCAATAATTAATATCTATAAAGTCCAACTTTATAATATCATAATACAATATAAAATGAAATTATATTATAATAGAAACCTCCAATAATTATATAATTGATGTAATTAATATAAACACAAAAGTTACGTTTCATAGATAACACATTCTTTTGCTGAATTTTGATATCCAAAGCGTAAAATCTCTCTTCGCGTTTGATCGAAAATTTAAATCTTTTGCTTATAGGCGCGAACGAAACTCATTTTTCTGCCCAGAATTTATTTTCACCCAGGAATTTGGCATGCAAATTCATAGCTCGCAGATAGAGCCCCCAGCTTACCGATCGAACTCTCGGCGGTGGGGCAATCCTGAGTTTCGGCGGGGGTTGTAAGCTGACGGGATAGCGATCCCCGTCGTGAAAATAAAACGATTTTCGCGTGAGAATAAAACGATACTCGCTGCGTGTGACGCACATGATTCGCGCGCGTGCGCGTATCCGAGGAGATCTTGATGGATCTGACGCAGCTGATAGAGCTAGCTCGCGATCCAGTCGTTGGCAGGAATAAACTTGAAAAAGCGTGGCCAATGCCAGAAAGAGATGCGCTTGGAATCGAATCAGAGAAATATGAAAAGGTCAGCCCTCCCTCGGCCTGTCTCGCTGAGACACGCGTTGTACCTGTCGCTCCAATTTGTATCGCGTTTGCATCTAAGTTTTCATACGCGATTCGAATCATCAACCATCCAGTTACCTGAAACTATATCCGCGGGACCAGACTTCTCTCTTTCGTAAAATAGACTCAATGTGCATGAATTAAATCTAAATTTTTTGTTTGATAGTGTTTCTCCAGGGAGACATGCGCGTTACAAATTGCCTTTGTAAATCAATTATCGCGGCTTGTAAATTATACACGAACGTTTTGATTTGTATGATTAGAGAGACAGGTATAAATTAACTTGTCGAATTTTAATCAGTTTTATCAACCAAATTTTATTTTATAGGATTTAGATGATAAATTAAAATACGAAAATAATGCGTATTTTCTGCTAAATTTAGAATATATCAATTATTTCGATTTGACATCCATATACGAGTAAATAATTAAATTTTCATTAATTCTCTGTAAGAGTTATTATAATGACGAGCAATTTGCGTCACTAATTTTAATTAAAATTTTACGAAAATACAGGCTGATTGAAAAGCACTTGGCTATTAGAACGGTCCCTTCGGCGCTGTTCTAATTAAGCGTTAGTTAATCATAGATAACCGGAGATCTATTCCGATTTCTATTTCTAGCAGCGAGAGAAAGAAAATGCGCGAGTGAAAAGCGATTCTATCGATTGTTCCTTCACTCGATCTCCGACATGGACTGTCGGCCGATATACGTAAACCCAAGCAATGGAAGTTAATTGAAAGTAGTTCACTAATGAAGTATACTTCCAGATACTTCATTAGACGATGCTCTCTCGGCGCTTTGTGATCAAATCCGCGGATGTGGAAAAATAATGATGAAATATACTTTTCCGTTCTCGCTCGCATCAGTTTGTCACGAAGCCGTCTACGATATAATTCAATTACTCTTGGTCGTATGATTCTTGTATTTTGAAATCGTCTTGATAACAATTTTATGTTGAATCATTGTTTCTTCTAATCTGTGGAATTATATCTCGCTAACGACAAGTGGAACAGCGATTTAAGCTCCGCGTTCCATTTTCTTAGCTTCATTTTCGTTAGTTTCAGTTTCGTTAAAGATAATGTTAAATATAGATAAATATATACGATAAACCCATTTAAATTCTGTTTTGCTTTACTTATAGTCGCCTTGCATTATCAGTTAATTTAATCTATATCAAAAAAGCAGAGAAAAAAGACAGGGGAATATGTGATGAGATAGAAATTTAAGATGAAAGAGTGCGGTGTTATAATAAGACTATATATATATAATTTGTATTTATATCGCTAGAATTTATATATTGGGTTGAACGGTAAGTTCGTTCCGTTTTTTACTAAGAAATGAAGACCGAAAAAACGGCACAAACTTTCCATTCAACCAATACAATAACTTTGATCTCATTTGAAAGATAATTTAATTCTCTACGACTTTTGTTTCGGTACATTTTGTTAAAAGACGCGTACCTTCCCTGATATTTGTAAAAATGTAAAAAATAACCGTGATTTTAGAGGTTTTTGGGCGCTAACTTTTTAAGGAAGCATTTTTCGACCCATGTTTATGGGAAACTTTTTGTTCGGTATTAAATTATCTTTCAAATGAGATTAAAATGATTGTAGTTCGCTCTATAGATTTTGAAATAAACCAGTTAATAACCAATTTCAAATGTACCGAAAAGTGTTTTTTCGGCTATTGACGGTTATTCGAAAACCTATGGAACTATTGGGTTAGATGCCGTTTTTTCGGTCTTCATCTCTTAGTAAAAAACGGAACAAACTTTCCGTTGAATCCAATATAAAGTTTTAAAATACGCGGTTTACCCGACGATATACGTTACGCATAAGGCAGTATTTTCTCGTAAGAATGTAGTGTTCTTGAATGAGTTTACGGAAGAATGATCGCGACGCTACTTCTCCCGTAAAATTACGCGCGTTACGAGGATTTACGGGCGATAACGCGCGCGAGAGTTTCGCGATTACCGCACGAGAACCGAGAGAAACAACACGCGGCGCACAAAACACGAGAAGGCTATTTTAACGGGTGTAATGTCCGATGTTGGCCCCGAATGGGGTTCGGAAATGGAACGAAATCCGATAGCGGGCCGTCGGCCATGAGAACCACTTTACCGACTCGTGCTACTCATCGAGGAGTAGATAGGCAGGCAGGCAGGCAGGCATGCTTTGCCTTTCATACATCAGGGTAGGTAAAAGCAAGGGCTCTTATAAAGAACGGAATTGCTTTCTCGAGAAATATGCTCCGTTTCTAAGGTAAAGAATGTATCTGGAGTTTGAATTACCTTTAGTTCCTTAGAGGGATGATTTCTCCCGCGAGATATTCGTCTTCGTCTGAATTCGTGATTCTGAATGAAATAACGACACAGGACACTCTTTTTCTCTTGAAAGGTAAAGTGATTTATGATATGTTTAATGTAGTACAGATATCTTACCGTATGTTTGCCTTTTTCTTTAAAATTAATGAGAGAGAATAATCCAAAATTTTATATCAAACTGATACATATTACTCTCTATTTTATTTTTAATGATTTATATAACCGTTTCGCCATAAATGATTCACTTTTTAAAAGCAATAAAAACTTTCGGCAACTATCGTCACATAAAATATACATATAGCGAGTCATTTTTATAAAATATATATTTAGCAATATATTTTTATAGAATATATTTAGCAATAAACATAAAATGTATCTTTATATATTAAAATTCTTTTTATTATACAAGAATACTTCGAACAGAGTATTCTTCGCACAAGATAATTTGTCTCACAGTTTGATATTCTATTTTGAGTTTTATATAAATAGACGAATTATTAAATTACGTCTTAACGATATAAACGCCACTTATGAGAGCGGCACGTCAATGATGCACACCGGATCAGACACTTGATGGACATAAAAATATTCGGATATGTGGCACGAATTGTCGGGTGCGAGTACATCGGAAGATAAAGCGATAGTCCACGTCGCGGTCCTATGCAGGTTATGAATATATTAGTTATCGATGATATAAGACACAGATCACGCGATGTTATGGAAAAAAATAAATCGAAAATATCGAGCAAAAGTTTTTCTGTAAACTTTCTTCTCTTTGAGAACATCGAATATGAAACGTCAATCTTATAAACTCGCATAACTTTCGAAGACGCTGTGCCATTGGTGAATCTGATTCAACAACGTCCATCAGAATATATGAATAAAGATTCCATTTTAGAAATTGAAAACAATTTTCATATTTTTATACAAGTAATTTATTTGGAAATTTTTTTATTTTTTATTATTTCTTTTATTAAATTTTCTATCATATATTTTTTAAATCGAATATGTTGAATTCTTTTCATTGTACTTTTGTGTGTAATCACTGTTGATATATTTTGAAAGATTTTGTCGCATTGTGGTTAAAAGTTATTCCAGTATAAAAATGTCACAAAGTACGAGTATTAATTTTTCGATTTTTTTCCAAATTAATGTTCGAAAATAAAGATTTTTTATAAGAAGATTTTGTCGTCATATTCGACTTATTTTTCATGTAAGATTATCATTTCTCTGGTTGTACCACCAATAACAAGCTTTTCTGTGAAAGAATGAGAAAAGTTTGTGCAATAATAGAGAGTATGATACATACGTATATAAACCGGAATGAGGTTTTATTTTATTGTCGAGAGAATTCACATCCAATGAATTTATAATTTCCCATGAGATTTATTTATTCAACACGCACATTATGATGCGAAAAAAGTTGAAAACAAATTAATAACTAACAAATATCTTGCGATATTTCTCTGCAAAATTAGAATTGACATTTCGTTACAGAATGATATGTTTATTAAAACGTGTAAAAGTTATTTTATGACTATGCAGATATACAACATCTCGACAGAAGCGTACAATTTGATATTTGTCATGTAACATGACGTACATTATTTGTTTGTCTCGAATAAGCTCCATTCTATTCATTTCGATGATTCACCAGGGGATATTTCAGCACATAAACCATGAATGTGCCATCTTTGTTGTTTACTAAATTTGTATTTCAGCCATCCTATTATCATAGTTATACATATAACAAGCCATAAAAAGAGAATTCTAAATGATATATTACTTATAATTAAATGAAATACGACTCAATTATATATATCAAATAAAAAAGTGAACAGAAATAGCATACAAATGTCATATTATTTTTCTGATTTATTCGCCAGTAACTTAAAAAAATGTAATCGAACTACGCGAGATAAAATTATTTTCGCTGTATATAATAACAATACAAAATATTTTATATTATATTTTATATTATATTAATTGGATAATTAATTAATTCATACATTTAATTGAATATTAATTCAAATTTATTGAATATATTTATCCATAATTATTTAATTAGATAAATCGAGAGTGATTTAAAATAAAGCCCTTTTCTTACAATTTCGCCCGTGTTACACTCGATGAAAAAATATGAGTTAATAAAAATCCTTAATATTCGCTCCGTAATATCTCTCTCTTTGGCGCATATTATTTATCTGTTTTGTGGCGATGGGAAAACCGCGATGTGCCGCGCTATATGTAACGCACGCTCACGTTACGTGCACGGCATCGGTAAGTCTTCCTCTTCTCGTTCTACTTTGAAATATTAATTTATATACGATACCCCCGCGCTGCGCGCGGACAAACAAAGTCTGAAAAGTGGAACTTATGATTTATATTGACGATATCGACGGGATTCCCACTTCGGGGATTAATCCCCTTGGAAACCGCATGAATCCATCGAAAAAAAAAAAAGGAGCGAGAGAAATCAGATAAACATCATTACACATTTCCCTCGAACAACTTTATAAAGTTCTAAATATGAGAAAGGGCAAATTGCACATTTTTCTGTTACTATTTCTAAATCAAATTAAATATGAAAAAATGTATAATATTATCGCGAAAGATATCTCTACACATAAAAAATACTTTAAACTTTATTTTATCGTAAAGTATACGCGCGTATACCTTTCCTAGAATAAATTTTTACGTACGTAGCTAAAGAGAATATGTTATTTTCCTAATGATACATTTCTGCAGTAAACTACATTCATAATCTCTCTTTTATCTACATATATAATTACGACTTACCGTGTGCATAATAACAGGTTGCATTATTATCCGGCTGATTATCTGCCCAGAGCGCGTTTAGAGAGTGAACGAGAAACGGAAGAAAGAAAGTACATAAACGGGACGAGAAACCAAATACAATATATACACATATACATATATACACGTAGAGTTTGGCGCGCGGCGCGATAGAGTACGAATTTCTGCGAAAGTTCGTAAGTAAAGTTCTCTGAGAAATGGGTGCACGCATGCACGCACGCACGCACGCATACACGAAGCAAAAATAATCGATAAAACGACAATAAAACGAGAAAAAAAAGAAAAGAGGAAGCGCGAAGAGAAAAAAAAAAAAGAAATGGAAGGCCGGATATCCGGGCGAAAGGCACGCACGAACGTACGTACGAACGCACGCACGCACGCACTAATGTCTGTCACGGCGCAGCACGAGGGTGTCACGTCCTCGCGCTACGGTGGCCCGCGCAGCACTGACTCTTTCTACTGCGGCCCGCGCGTCTCGATACGCGAGAGAGGACGACGTAGCGTAACGGCGGAACAAACTGAAAACTGGGACTGGCGTTAGCGGATTAATACATAGTCAATGAACTGGAATAATACGAGTGATATTTTATTTGGACGGAACAGGGTAATTTTGAGCTATAGTTCGCTGAATACACATTTTCGATAACAAAAAATGGATTTATTCAAATTGATTGAAAAATCTATTTATCAAGATCGCGAATGTATAATGTGAGACGCTCTGTATAATGTGGAATTTATTTTGATACAATAATAACGTGAAGCGGAGAGAATTTCTGAAAATTTATAATGGAATGTGACTGCCTTTGTGCAACTGTTAAAGAATATTTATGCAATTATTCATATGATGTGTGAAATAATTAATATTATGAACATTTACTCATTTCTCTCGGCAAATCAATGCCATTTGAAATTTGGCTGATTTTACGAACACCGCAAATTGTCGAGAGTTTCATGTCGCCTTTTCATCAACCTTTCACAATCAGCCGTAATCAAAAAGTGACGGCCAGTGATTGACGAGCGACCGCTTGTCTTCTCGTAATTACTGATCGCTTTCATTGGCAGCCACATTCGAGGACAACGCGCCAAGATCAATTGATCGATTATCCGTAATCAAATAAGTTACACTCGAGCAGAATTTCGAAAGGTCAGACGAGCTGTTAAAGCTATATTACTATATAATTAATTATATATATAATGTAATTATTAGATGAATACCTTTATTGGCTATTTAATAAAATGTCTATGAAATCAACGAAGCACATTTATAAACGTGCGTAATACAGTTAATTTGTTATAATACATAATAATATAAATGCATAAAGGTCAGACGAGCTGTTAAAGCTCGTCGTATACGGCCACCCTCTCATGTACCTGACGCAGGAACACTTTACTCGCTCTCTTGCTCGCCAAAGCTTCCGCAAAGGCATCGGATCTAGAACTGAAGGAGGTATAACACGTGATCAACTCGTGTGACGAAATTACACTTGTACGATGTATAAATCATCTTGTCATAAAACTAAAATCATCATTATTACTATCATTTACAGGTAACATTGACTATTACCTGTGATTTCTATCATTACTATTATATTAATAATATTATAAATATATTATATCATAATTATTACATTAGTAAATTACCAGAGAGAAATATACGACATATATTTAATTTCATTTAACTCATTAATACAATAAAATTACAAATTGACAATTACAATAATAATTCAACGAAAACCTTTTAAGATCTTAAGCGGTATAAATTTTGCTTCTCTCGGTTTATATTAGCACTCTCATAGCTGAATATACTTCCCTTTAACGCACGGATATACGTCAAACACGTGTTGCTATGCAATCTGTTAATTCGCGCGCGTCCGCTCGTCGGGAGATAGTTCGTCGAGTGCCAAGAGCTTAATTTGTGCGGAACGAGAGATTAATCTGACTTTAAAATGATTTTAATACGAGAAACGCGACTGTTTTTATCCTGTCTCTCCCAGGACACGTCGTCGAGTACGATATTCTAACGCTTAAGCATAATCGCATTAAAAACCGCGATATTTGTCGCCGTGTTCACGCACGGCAAAAAATTCGGTTGCTTTGATTTTTGATAATTAAATAGTAGCCGTGAGTGTACACGACACACGCACTGTTAACGCGACGCGTGTAATAATACCGCTATGTTGCACAACACGTAGCACCTCTGGAAACAAAATATACTATATATAGGTCGAGAGGTACTCGTGAAACTTTATTCTACCTCGGTTTACAATTCAACATTACTATTTATATAGAGAGAAAAATGGAGGTTGAACAAAAAGTTTTGGGTAAAAATAAGAATTGTTAACAAATTAAAATTGGAACGAATGAATCAATTTTATAGTATCTATTTGCATTTTTGAATTAATTTGCTAAAGGAGATCTTTACTTGCAATAATTTATAACTCTGAGAAATATCGACGTCTAGAGATATTTTCTCAAAAGAATTGTTGTTTTACAGACTTAAATAAAAACAAAAAACTTCTCTCTCTCTCTCTCTCTCTCTCTCTCTCTCTCTTTCGTCTGTAATATGTATATAGTATATAAAATATTATTTCATATATGAGAGAGAGAAAGGGTTGCAGATTGCATTGTGTGTATGGATAAATTCCTAGATAAAAGGATACGACTTTGTCCGCTTGTTTTCGCGAGCGTTACGATAATCGAGAGTTGCGTTGTTTTAATCCAAATAAAATGCAAAACACGTTTGACATGACAAAATGTGAAGAAGCACGCTCGCGAATATCGATCCCACGTGTTCGGCTCGGTTTGTGAAATTTATACCCTCTGTAATATTAAGGTTGATATATATATATATATGAGAGATCTGTTGATCACATACGAAGGGTGTCGTGTGTGTTCGGGTCGGGAGAACGAATTGTCAAGGTTGCAATCCCGTTGGGATTAGTGGATTAGGTCGACTGGATCGGGAAACATATTCTATTCTCATGCAACATTGCAATGTTGCAGAATTCAACGAAGCACATTCGTGACATGATAATTGAAGTATGACTGCCAAGTTAATATTAATTTTTGCGACATTTAGATCCCTGTAGCGTGCTTACAAATGTGATTGAATTCAAGATTATTTTTGCTTTCTTTTATTTTATATGAATCATTCTCTTTACTACATTTCCACTACGCTACAGTGAAATAATTTATTCCGCGAGATATATAATAACTTTACATATAATTTTATTATAACTTTTTGGGGAAAAGGATAATCGATACTATCTTACTAATTAATTTATACTAATTAATCATATTAATGAATTTATTTAATATATTTCAGGATGAGAAAAATATTTGACATTTAACAAATTTGGTCCGTTCATGTGTATTCCGATTCTTTTTGCTTGAAATTTGGTCTTTTTATAAATTAAAATGACCAACATATATTTTTTACGTGTGTTTTTCTCGTGCCTATCGTTCTATCGCGTCGTTTCTTGCATGTTTAATGTTCATTACCTTTCTCTCATCTAAGAACAAAAAGATCATCGTGACTTAGCTGAGTCGAATGCCGAATCCCCAGAGGACTAAAATACTTATCACACACGATATCGCGCGCGCGTTACATGTGTATGTCGGACGATGTTCTATTCTCGAGTCCATTTCACATTCCAGGTACATTCGAATGAACGAAAACCGTCCATCACTTCGGTAATCTAATAAATATCGACGCGGTTTAGCCCCTTGGAGAATTCTCGAAGAGAACTGTCTTCCGCTTTAGCCCCCTTGTCTCTCCTCCCTTCTCATTCTCTTCCTTCAAATTTCTTGTAACTCAATATATAAGATCGCGACGTCGAGGCGTTACAGGGACCGACCCAATTTCCCACGAATCCGCTATATAACGACTTTGCTTTTGATCGGGTTTTCGCGTGCTATACTACAGAGACAATCTCGTTAGTCGACCCCGTCGTCGACCACGACAGCGACGGAAAAACTAATCATGCGCTACAAAGCCCCCGGGATTAATGGGATGCCCGGGCAGCGATTCGTGGTTTTTAAAATTCGCGACGCGTCTCGGCGTCTCTGTTGTAACGATCTTAACTAACAAGATTACTGACGCTATACACAGTGACCTCCATAGCGTCGTCTTTCATCTACGGATTCTTCGATCGATTTGGTATCGATTTTTCATTAACGAAAATATCGACGTACAAGACGGTTTCTGAAGAGGCTAGTAAGTTGTTGTATCGTCAAACTTTTTTCTTTAAGAAAAGATCAACAAGATTAAGTGTTGAGTATGAGATAACTTTATATTTACGAGGAAAGATCGATCTAGTTTATTTATTATATCATATTTATATATTGGTAACTTTGATGTTTTATGTATATGTGGCAAAATCGAAAATTGTAAATTTCATAGAGTTATTATACGATATTTATCAGAATCGAGAGTAAAAGTTGCTATACATCTTGAATTTTTATCTAAAAGATATATGTGCTTTAGATATTTATTTCGTAAAAGAAGTAAGTTTTTTAGATAACGTGTTTTTTATGTATTTTTGATAAACTCATGAGGTGCGAACGCGAGCGAAACCGCCGATCCATCAGTTCTAAATGGATCTGCCGACGTTTCACAACGTAGGCCAGGTAGGCATTGACGGCTCTCCTCTCTGTGGGTCAATGCCTATCGACTATTTTTACCGTATCGGAAGACAGGAAGGTTCTCATCAAAGAGGTATTCATTTATAGCCCCCTTTAAATGTTCAAGAAAAGGTGCAAAAATCTCTTCCAATATGCCTTCAATCTGACGTATAATATCCCGAAAAATTGTTAACTGTTTCGTAAAAGCAGCGTTTTGAAATATATTATTTTATTTTTAAATTAATATGCAACGATCATAGAAATATTTCTAACTTAGTGACATAATGGTATTAAATATCCAAAAAATTATTATAATTTATGAATTCTTTTTTAAGTAAGTGTGACGTGATAGAATATTTCTTTAGATACATTTTTTGCCACCGTCAAATATAATACACTTTCTGTGCATCTAATACTTTACAAATATATCATTTCGTCGATTCTCTCTTTTAAATGCTAGAAAAAACTAAGACAATTTATAGAAAAATTACTCAGATGTTTCTACGATATGAGTCATTTGTCCCGACTTTTGATCGTCGACAAAATAGCTACAATGCTAGCGCTTGTTTTCTGGCGAGACAGAATCAGATTGCAGCGAGTTGCCAAAGATCTTCCAAAGTGCATCGCGTCGCGATTCCGCGGTGAGATCGTCACCGTAGTTTGTAGTAAAAGAGAGAGAAAGAGAGAGAGATACAGGGTGAGAGGCAATGAGGCGAATGTCTCGAATGTTTTCCCGGTGCGATCGGGCATGCGACGGGGACATCTCGCAGGGCCAACAACGCGAGTGCATGGCGGTCGTTAATGCGAGCGCCAGATTTTTCCTGGACACGGGAGCGAGGATCGAGCTTCCCGCGTCGTTAGTCTGTTGCCAAGAAATCTATTTGCGGCGACGTCACTACGTTTTTAGACGTCCAAGGACAACGGCTAACAACTCTCTTATTTGCCTTTATTTGTCCTTAAAGCTCGATTCGCTTTTTTTGGTTTGAAGCTTCTTTTAGGTTCAATATTCGTGCAAGCGCTTATACGCAATAATCGTGATGTGAATACCTTTGAAAGATATATACGTGATATTTTAAGTGTTAAATAATTTGATAAATTATTAAATTTTATACATATATATAATACAATAATAATATAAATAAATATTTATTTTAGATTGAGAAAAATTATTTGACAGGTGAAAAATTTTCTGAAATTTCATTTTTTTTCTAAAAATGTTTATAAATTAATTTTTATAATTTTGTTGTACTTTGATTTGCCATTCATTAATGTCCAAGTTTTATCTATGACAGTTATCACTTTGGGGCCGTTAAAAGTTGAAATTTCATCTGTGGACGATTGCCAAGTTCCAGGACGATATTCTCACTATATTTTATTCACAATGACATCTGCGTTGTCCATAAATTTTACGGAAATGTTTCGACGATTACTTTGTGTAGATGTGAATTTTAAAGCGCCCTATCTTATCGATGTTACATTTATTACAAAATACTCTATTGTAGAGAAAATATATAGATCTTAAACACAAATAAATCGATAATGAAACAATGTATTTAAAAAAAAAAAGTAGGACATGATTTGAAATAAAATTAAAAATTTTGCGACTATCTAACATATAACGGACGAATTCATTATAACACTATTCCGTATCTTGTTAATAATAATTACATATTAACTCAATCATAAATAAAAAAATAGCATAGCTGGACGGATAATGACGTTTCACTTTTTCTCCGACATGATTACTTTTTTATTTCTTGCTAATCTTGTAAAATGGGTGTCCTTTCAACACCGGGATATATAGTGTCATATTGGATGCAATTACGACAGACTGTCGGATTTTGTGCTAATTTTGTATTCACACGTAATTTTAGAGAGAGACATAATGTAGGTACGTCGTTTCAATGACGCGCTTCTATTTCTATGCTGAGCAGAGAAAGAATTAAATTACTTGAATTTGGACATTCTCTTAACATGTAAAATAGCTACAAACAATTATGACCAGTGTTTAAATTGAATTTATTTGAATTAAACTTAAATTTCTTCATTGATCATCTTTGCAAGCATTCTCACCGATAAAGGAAAGCAAAAAAAGAATTTATTTCACTGTATTAATATTATTTAATAAGTTTTTTACTTAAATATTCGCGCGTAGTGTGTAGAGAGAGAGTTTCTAAATATTTTCTCACATTCTTCTTACCTTTCGCCTCTTGAGGAACATTCGTTTGAGCAGGTTCGTTGAAGAAAAAGATGCAAGAAGCGGCACAACGTTACTCCCGTGGAGAAAATCGATATTGCTGACTGTATTTCTTTCTATACAATTAAGCTCTGTCTATATATATGATCGATGCTTGATACACTGGCGTACAATGAAGCTTCATCATCCTAAATATTCGGGGAGAAGGAAAAGTCACTCTCCATCGCGATAAATCGCGCAATTTCGATTGACGGGCGACGATGACCGAGAATCTTTTAACGATATGCTCTATGCAAGGCAGGAATGACAGGTAGCGATGATGCAGTCGTAAACGCACATCTCTTTCTCTTTTTTTCGCGAAAACAACTGACAATGTGTCTTATCGCGTCGACGTTTATAACAAGAGATCTCGTCGGATATTTTGCGAAACACTCGATAATTCTTTCGCGACATGAGCGGAGAGATACGTGCTTTCGCGAAAAATATTCCGCGAATTGACCGGAGGATTCAGTGGTTGATACGATGATATGAAAACGCTCTGCAGAAAATAGACGAAAGAATCCATAAGATTTTACTTTATTCATTCGGAATCTTGAATTATGGGCGATTGGCTTGAAAGAAGAATTGGCTTTAAATTTTTATCTCTTTATATTTTCTCTTTATCAATAGAAAGAAAATCGAAATGATTTCTAAGAAGATCCTAAATTGATTCTTCAGATTACACATTTCCGTTTGACAGAAGGACAATGTCGATTTTTCGATTTGTTTCCTCATTCGTCAATTTTTTTGCAGAGCGAACAATGATAGAATTGGGGTAAAGACTAATCGAGAGTCGTGTCACAATTGGGCGAGATTGCGATAAGCGACTGCCAACTGCATCTACCAATTGGTCCTCCGAATTGTCAATGATTTGTACACGTGTTGCAAATTATAGATTTACTCCACTATTTGTTTTTCTTTCTTTTCTTCGTATCTTTCTCTCTCTCTCTCTCTCTCTCTCTCTCTCGCTATTCTCTCACGTATGTACACGCGTACATATTGCACATGCAACGCGAGCGATACACAATTAGCTCTGTCATTTTTTTTTAAATATATATGTATATGTATATATATTGTTTACATTTGTCGCTACGTCAAATTTTCTCATTGCAAAGTAGTTTCTGTGTTACATTCTCTCATTTTCTTTCGTTCATTCTTTCTCTGTGTTTCTCAATTTTTCTCACATGCTTACATACACACACTCTCTCTTTTTCTCTCGGAATCTGCGTCATTAACGGATTGTGCACATATACATGTATAATTAACATATACGACGTAGCGATCGTTGAAAACATCCATGATTGACTTCTGCTACAATTATACAGCTTATTTAGAGTACAACTGTTTTGTTACAAATGGTCAACGTAACGCCTGTGATGTGAATTTATCTTTTTCATGTGTGTCTTTTCATGTCATATTCTTTTTCTTGATGTGATATTGTATATGTATGTGTGCGCGCGTCGTGTATGTGTCTGTAGTGATAGATTATTGTTTTATCGTTAACGTAATTATAGTTAATATTAGGCGTATATATATAGTACAGTTTACACACCGTACAATACATACATACAAATACCCGCGACAACCGGAAGAACATTTCTGTTTATAAAAAACAGAGATTTAAATTCTGTATAATTTCGATTAGTTCGGATTTTAATGCTATAAATAAAAATCTATAACAGGAACGATCTGCAAATAATTTGGGAATGCGATAATTGGCGTAAGATTTTTGCACATCTATCTGTAACAAAGATACGAACTTGTCGAAATTACAATAGTGCAAATATTCACTAATAACCGCGTTTTTTTTTTTTTTTAATCGCGCTAGTTGTTTCTCTCTTGCTCTGTTTCTCGTTTTCAATCGCTCGATCAAGGACGCGATTGCCGTTGACAATTCGCAACATCTGCGATTGATTAATTGCACCATGTCAATTAATTAACCGTGTCCGGTGTCGCGGGCCGCGTGATTTCTGGCATGCTCTTCTCGCTAAATTAACGCATTACACATTACACCTTATTACAGATTCAGTGATACATAATAGATACTTTTTTGTTTTTATTATCTCACTTATGTACAGAGGGCAGCTTGCCTATAGTAAGTAGGTAGATAGATTTAACGCCGGATGATGATTGAAGTAGTAGTAATAGTAGCGGGACGTCGGTACTCCTCGATAATTGACGCCAGATCGATGCTCCTGGTTCCTCTCTGGATGCTTTGCGGTATCGTCGAACACGGCTCTATCATTATCTCGGCCTTTATCGATACCGATATTAACATTCGCTAATGCTTTCCCCCTTAAATAATTTTGCGAAGAGTGCCATTTCGAGGTCGATACATTATATGAAGTCGCCGAGTGATAATTATTGATTACGTTACATTATACTGCGACATCGCGTTGTCCCGAAAATTCGGAGATTTAACATTTTATAGTTCATCGAAGGCGATATTTTCTTCCGCGATCATAATCTTTTCATTTTATTCGATGGATAATTAAATAGATAATTGGTTAAACGTAGCTATAAAGAGAACTGTACAGAAATGAGTTTTCTCTTGCGATACACAACTCTCTTATCGCTTTTTATGGATAAATATTATTTCATTTTCTCTAAAAAAAAAAAAGATGCAAAAAGACGTCAAAGATTAATGAAAAATAAAATAATAATAAATGCAATCAAAAACTTTTCAGGAACGTCAAGGTTTGACGTTATAATCAATTTGCATAAACGACACCTTAAAAAATCGCGAAGCTATACTTCAGTTGCAACGAAAAATGTATTTAGTATCCAAACGCTAGATTTTAAAATATTTGGACTTTTCCGTGGGTGAAAATAAATTGTGCATATTTAATCGGCGTTGTCATTGTCATCGTGACACTTTATATCTAAATTACGAGAGTTATACTCGCTGCAAGTATACATTAGTGAATCATCGATTGCGCATGAATAATCGAATATTATCGGTTAAAAAAATATTTCAAATATTGAAAAAGTTTGGTAACGAAATATTTTATCGAATATATGGAAATATTTAAAAGACAAAACTAAAAGATTCTCCTTAGAAGCATATTACTTAAATTTTTTCAAGCGTATATCGTTGAAAGATTTTTTTATTTTATTTTATATGTTTAAATAATCTTTTCTTTTATAGAATATCTGATTATAGATTGATTATGTGAATCTTATTTAATCGCTTCCGCGTGTATTACAACAAATATTAATGTAATAATCGCTAAAGCAATTGTTCATGCTCGCGTATCTTATATCGCTCTTGTATTTTAATCTTTCATCTATTACGTCTCCGATTACTCGATATTCAGAACTTGTGTAATTTTGTCGAATGATTGACGCTTATTGTCAGACTTTCTTGGGCGCATTTTATTTAATGCACGGACTTGAGTCACTCCCTTCGGTCGTGTCCGATTTTTCTGCATGAATCTATAATGCCAAACATCGAGTGAGCAACATCGTTCCCGCTATAATGATCATCGTCATTAATTATTATCAACCGCCAAATAATACAATGTGTTTTTTTCGTATTTCTAATATCTTTTCCTCGCGTCATTTTCTATCTCTTTTTCTTCTCAGTAACAGAAATCGAAATCTGCATTATTTCATTGAGCCCAGATTTCGATGCCAGATACACGAGAATAATCTCGATGAGCGAGATATTTTAGTTAATATATAAAAAATTTAAGCTTTATAAAATTAATTTCTTAATAAAATTGTAAAAAGGACCATATATATGATAAAAAGCACAGATATTTTAAGTCTCACTTTTGTTGCTTTAAAGATTTTCGTCTTCATCCGAATGATTAATTGTGAGTCAATTGAATCTTTTGCCTTCTTTGATTCTTTAAAAGAAAATAAGAGAGATTGATTAAATCTGAATTAAGTTTAAATAAATTTTAGTAATTTAAGGAGCAGATATCATTAATAACTACCATTAATAACCGTAATTGATGTTATATTTATTCCTAATAAAAAAACGTAATGATCAGCGTGTCTGCGGCATGGAAATCTGAACTTATCGAAGTCCATCCCTGATTCCTATCAAGCGAATGAACCGAAAGGAGGACCACGGCCGATTGCGGTCGTTAGTCTATTCGGTCGCATCTCGATGATCACAATCGTTATGTGTATATATATATTGTATATATGTATATATAATTATAGCGTACATTAGATTCATTTTACATATCATCTCGCGCCGAGAAAGGATGAAAGGAAATAGATGAGAATGAAAGGCCTCCGAAATAAATAATGTAACGAAGGAACGACGAAGTAAGTGGACTAGTTAACTCGCCAGCGTCGCACACGACACTTCCTCTCCTCTTTTTCCTCCTTTTTTTCTTTTCCTCTCTTTCTAACACACGTAACACACATGTGCAACACACACATACGATCTCTCTGGGTTTTTTCCCCTCTCTTCTGCATGTCGCCATATTTTTTTAGCAATTACAGTTAGTGTTCGCTGGATTGGTTGGCTGATCGGTGAGTCGTTGACCCTTGGTCTGGCCCATACCACTCGCCATCAGGGTCGGATCATTGTCCAAAGATTCGCTCATCTTGTCGCATATTATATCCACCAGCGTCTCGAACACCGCCTGTTGAAACGAGAAAGAGAGAGAGAGAGAGAGAGAGAGAGAGAGAGAGAGAGAATCGATCATACGTGTGACCTCGCGACAGGCGGGATCGATATCCGCATGTTCTCGCGGCACAATAAAGTAGAAGATTGTGTATCAGAGATTTGTGAAACGGTATTTCAAAAATTTTTGCAAGGATCTTTGAATTATTTTTACTCGTAGAAAAACAACCAGAAAAATTATTCAATCAAAAAATAATTTAAAAAATAAAATCTTTTTTCAAATAAATAGAAATTTGCCATCGCATTTAAAACGTAACAAGTTACTTCTTTAAAGGAAATACGCTATTTTATCAAAAACTTATTACGAATATTTAACTAAATTCGCAATTATAGTTTTTACGTTATCTTATGTAAATTACATAAGCCAACAGAAACGAGGAAAATAACGTTTTTTTAGTTTTCTTTACAACTAAAGGCAGGCAGTTAATTGTCAATATTTTTATAACTGCGAAATTTGTATTTCGAGAATTTAATCTCATTTATCAAACGGGGCGATTTACCGAATTTTTGCGACACGTAAGACATACATACCTTAACATTGATGTTCTCCTTGGCCGAGGTCTCGAAGAATCGTACCCCTAATTGTTCCGCCAACTGTTTACCTCTCTCGGAGCTAATCACCCTCTCCTCCTCCATGTCGCATTTGTTGCCCACGAGGATTACCTGGGCGTTGTCCCACGAATAATTTTTTATTTGCGTGATCCAGTCCTGAACTGAGTTAAAGGATTCTTCGTTTGTGATGTCGTACATTAAAATGAAACCCATCGCGCCTCTGTAATAGGCCGTCGTGATCGTTCTGTATCTCTCCTGACCCGCCGTATCCTGTATAAGGATAATCAATCAATAAATCAAGGAATCAATAAGCGTAATGCAATTCTGTGCAAGATAAATGAATGTAATCAGCATTATTTTTTGCTTGTATTTAAACGTGATATTCGTAAAATAATATACGAAGAAAAGGTTACAAAAATATCAGTTAAAACAACTAGAAGCGATACATTCATAATCTAGTTTATAATATATGCAAATCATTATTTTTTATACACGTACAATTATCGTGGAAGATATTACATAAGCCTTTTTAGTTACGCGCGATAATGAACGGACGAATAAAGATATACTGACCCAGATCTGTAACTTGACCCTTTTGTCATGTCTGAAGACGGTCTTCACCTTAAAGTCGATCCCTACGGTTGACACGAAAGCTGAGGTGAAGGAATCATCCGCGTAGCGAAAAAGGAAGGAGGTCTTTCCCACGGATGAGTTGCCGATTATCAGCAGTTTGAACATGTAATCAAAGTTCTGATCCGCGGCATCTCTGCCATCCTGACGCGCCATCTGCAAAGAAGTCAGCTTTAAAAATTTTTTAAATTTATAAAGAAGATTTCTAAATTATATATGTATATAAATTATTATTTTTTTTTTAAATTTATATAAATTAAAAAGAATTGTACATAAAAGATTTATTAATTTCTCTGGAGCAGGATCCTAGGATTTTTAATGAGAGTTCGGAAATAGTGGATTTATGATTATATATATATATAGTGTGATTAATAATTATAGAAAAATTTTTACATCGAAATAATATATACATATATATATTATTTTTTCAGATTTCGTGACACTCTTGTTTATGGATCGGCGATTCGAGGAAGAGGATAATGCGATGAGACTCTTGCATTTCGATTAGCTTTGCACATGCCCATGTTGTAAAATTACACACGTGATGGTCAAGAGGAGAAGCTGTTCGATGCAACAGATGAGTTTACGATGCATGATTCGTCACAGTTTATCGGACCGCATGATCACGTTCGAGAAAATATTGGATAAAAATATCGAAAAGTTAGAGGCCACAATATATAAAAACCCCATACGAGAGAAGGTTAGTACAGCTTTACTTAAAATCTTATTCGTAAATTCAATTTTAGTTTATCAATTCAGTGACATTAATAAATGTCACTGAATAATAAATTAACCGTTTGACATAAAAAGTTATATATACCAAAAATGAATAAGAAATTTTATAAGATATCTAAAACTCTCGTTTCTTTTCTGGAGGTATGACACGTCAAATAATTAAATAATTAAATTTAAAGCATTAAAGGGGAAAGTTATATTTTATTGGCTTTTTGTAACCATCTCAATTCTGTGTCTGTCAACTTCGCTATCTTGTAACACTGTAACTCATTAGTCTTATAAGTCCCTCAGTTCAATTGCAAGCTGAAAACTCAATTAAATTACTCGATCGTGGAATTTATAAATCGTCAATATTATCGCGCATATAAAGTCTTAATTGAAGTCTATTGAATTTTCTCTCGCGCGTTTTTTTTCTGTTAGTTTTTCCTTTACTCGAAACGTAATAGAAACATATCGAGTCGATATTCCGATACCGTATTATGCTTCTGCGAGGTAATATCGACGATGGACAGCATCCGGGCCATCCGCGTACGTAGCTCGAAAACGGAATCCTTAACCGGCTTGGAGGATGCGTTCTCGCACTTCCTCGACATTTTACACGTAACATGTATCACGATGTGACACCCGATTGATCTTTCACGTCCTTCACTCTTCCTTTATTGCGGCCTTCGATCACATTAACGGGAACGAATTCTCTCAATTTTCTTGCTCTCTATAGTCTCGTTTTATTAACTGCAATTTATTATGCATTTTATCTTAAATCGTCTTTTGTGATCTCGCCTTATTGACACTCTAATTTATTTACCATTTAATTAAACCTCCCTTACACGTTTCCTCAACTAAAACTCATCAACTGCTTCGTTAATCACTTTTAGTCTTGTTTTATTAACCGTTTCATCAAGCGCGTTTATCAGCTTATTTCGGCAGAATTATCAATTAACTATGTCCGTACAAGACTTGATCAATTGTAATTTTCCTTTCGAAAACCAGTGGCGTTCGAGGATTATCGGCTGTTACAATTACTATCGATCATTTTTTCGACACGTTCACTGTTTATTCCTCTTCGGCACCGACGCGAAATGCAATGTATCGCCTTTTTAATCACTCTACTGCGCTCAATTAATTAACGGAGCATAATTCGCGGATGATTCTGAATAGTAAAGAAATTACTGTAGGATGTGCACTCTGTTCGCACCCACGACAAACCGCATCGCGGAAATTATTCAGGTCGACTCGATTAGCGAACGACGTAGCCACGTTTGCGGTTCTATCTTTCTTTCTACGGTACAGTATATATATATATTTCTTCCGCACGTACGCGTCGACGGCGATAATCGGACCTGCGATAGTCTGCGGTCCGCGCAGGTGCGTACAGTCGCGTTCACGTCGCCTCAATTCATTCCTTTCATTCGTCTTTCTTGGATGTTTGCTTAATGAATAATTGAAATCGTACAAACCTTATCTGACATTTTATCGGTAAATACCTATTCGCGCCAGTTATCTTTCTTTACACATTCTAAATTGTTATTTGGTATATAAATATTCCTTGGCTTAAATTAAAATTTTGTATTAGAATTAAATCTCTCTCTCCCTCTCCCCTCCCATCTCTCTCTCTCTCTCTTTCTACTTGAAACTGAATTAATAGAATGAAATTTTATTGTCCTTTTTTTTGCACTTCATTTACTTCATGACATATTTATTTTTTAAAGCTCGTGTGCATATACCTTAAGAATCATTAAAAATTCTTGTTAAAGAGAAATCGATAGTTTTATAAGAAGAGATAAAAACTTGGTTTCAATGTAATTTACTTAACGTTACAGTAATTAACGAAAGTATAGTCTTTCATAGTTCGCTTTTTCTCTCTTTTTCGATGCGGAAGTGACGCCAGACATAGCGGAGATATATAAAATGTAAGAGAAAAAGTTTCGAAACTCATCGATTACCGACTCGTCAAAAGTTACATGGCTATACTCGTAGTGGGAAATAAATCGGTGGATCAAGAGATATAAATACCCTACGCGAATGTAAAACCGCGGGTGAACCGAGAAACTTTTAGATCCGGTAGCAGGTCCCTATCGATTTCACGCTCGATTCGTCTTGCGGAGTTATTTTAGAAGTAAAAGTGTACGATCCGTTTCGCCGACAAACCCACTCTTCAACTCGAAGTTTCATATAAAAAAACATAATATTCTGAAAGAAAATATCTCGATTTATTCTACTTTTTTCAGAGCGAAACTTTTCGCGGTTGAGATTATAATATTCTGAAAGAAAACATCTTTGAGCGATTTACTTTACTTTTTTCTGAACGAAACTTTTCGTGGTTGAGACTATTATAAATCTTATTGTTAGCCAGAAAATGTCGAATTAAAATTCTTGACTAGAATGAATTTCTTTTTATAGAAATGAGATATTTTTCTGAATATTTAAAATTTTATATTTTGATTTTTTTTCCACCGAATTAAATAATATATAAAATTTTATATTTGTATTTGTGTGTGAAATCTAATTTCTCTCTTTACTTTCGCTTACATATGATTGAAACGTTATTGATGTCTCGAGATTCTCGATTGAAAGAACTGAATCCCGGATTAGAGCCACACTTGCAGTTTTTCTCAGCTTATTTCGAAACTGTAAATCTTGGAAACGTCACGAATATTAAAACGGATCCAATCGAGACGATCGCGCGGGCTATACTGCATATATGTAATTATTTTATGAGAAGCGCGCAATAAAAGCATAAAATCTCATCCGGAAGATTGCGTCACGCACTTACACGCACTTAAACACATGTATGATACGGTGTACTATGGTAGTTGAATAAAAGTAGGACAAGGTTTTCCGTGTACGATAACGATATCGGTCGCAGTATGTCATGTCAACATTAACTACGATCGGTTCTCGTAAAAAAAAAGTGCAAGTATGTTAACACCGTATCACCTGTGCGCATTGTTGTACAGTGTTACGACGATTTCCGTGACGGACGGCGTTGGGTAATTGAGCGTGTCTGTCGGTAGACAGATGATGATTGAGGCGACGGGCGTTTTACGGAGGTCAAGTAGATACGGAAAATCGATGACACGGCGACAGGACAAGTCCATTTCTTCTCGGCGACTTGGTTTGCTCGAAATTTCCAAGTTAGTTCTACTATCAATGCGGAAACGTTGCACACGTTTGGTAATATTATTCGATTTTCTTATTTTTTTTAATGTTAATTATTTAAATCTCAGATCTCTTTTATCGCATATTTTCTTTAAGAGAAAACTCATTGAAGTGTGTGTTTATATCTCCGCAAAGATCGCGAGGATATTCGTCTTAAGTAATTCATACATAATTTCATAATATAAATATCAGCTTGTGAAATAATTTATACGTATAATAACTGATTAAATTCGAGATTAAAATATACATGAAATTAAAATCGAAAAATTGCAAAAGAAGAGAAATCTTTTGGTTTCCTTTGATTTTGACACTTGGATACGAGAGTTACCCTTTCATCGAATTGTTGGACACGTAATCATCCGATCCGTATTCGCAATCACGCCCGCGATCCCGTCGGGAAACGACATTGAGGGAGCAAATATTTTCGGAGAGGCAAATCGATTGTTACACCCGGTGCCCACCCACGCTCGCGCTCTCGCGCCGCCGTCCGATACGTAGTTTCGATTTCAGTGCATCAGTAGAATGAACGGCGGTAAAAGATGGAGCCCCCGTTTACGTCAGAGGCACGCGCGTCAACGCAAAGATATCAAGTCTTTAAACGACCGCTACTTTTATCGAAAACGAATAATTAATTTTTTCGAGATGTTCAATTGATTACATTTTACGACGAGTTTCTTTATTCTGTAAAATAATCATGAATAATTGTCAATTTTATCGATCTTTAATAAACCAATAAAACACAACAATATATATATATATATATATTTTAACAATTGTAAAATTAGAAAAATAAGAGAGAGAAAGAGAGAGAGAGAAAGAGATGATGATGATGAAATTGAAATAATAAAGTAACTAAAATACGATTTATAAAAATATAAGAGATATTTGTCATGTTATGAATAATTAATAATATTATTCTTTCTTATTTTATGTTATTTTATCAAGAAGACTTCTATCTAAGAATATTTATGATAGTTTTTATTTACCAGATGTCTCGAAAGAATTAATGATATCGATTTTCATTCTGAATACATGCCGAAGAATTATTAGTAATTATCATGTCTGATTATAAAGGCTGATACTCAGCTGGATGTTGTACGATAGGTAACTAACTTATCAGCATGCCCTCTTATCTCGGCTTTCCTCATCTTAATTTTTAAGAAAGAGGTACATGAGAGCAAATTTATTTACGTAACATGATTTCTCCGCGAAATCTGAACACTGTGAACATCTCGGGAAGAAGCGTCGACGTGAAATAAATAAATGATTAGACTTGCGGATTTGATTGAGAGAGAAGGGAGCGTGGTCACCTACGTCACGACGATTCTACGGCGTCGCATGAAACGCAGAAAGTCAACCCGAATGAATGAAAAGTCTGGCAATCATGCCCGCAGTTTTCACGGCTGACAGAAAGCGAGAAAGCGAGGGATATAAGCTTTATTCGAGAGTTGACATATTTATATATCGAAGATTAGAAAAACTTTTATATGACAAAATATATATTTAACAATAAGCGAAAGAGAGAAAAAGAGAAAGAGAGACATTGGCAAAGATATAATTACGGCTATTCTGCATATATCGGTCAAATTTTTTTACATTTTACGTAAAACTACGAAGGAGAGAAAAAAAAATAAAATAAATAAAATATTTAAGAGTAGGAGTAGACAGAGAAGCAGACAGAAACCAAGAGAGACAGAAAGAAAGGAGAGAGAGAGGGGGGCGAGAGAGAGAGAGAGAGAGAGAGAGATAGTTGAAGAGAAATCAATAAGCAAGCTATCGCGACGAGTTTACTTTCTCGAAGAAAATCTCTCTCTTCCTCTTTCGCAAATTCTCACTTTCTGCCGATCGCCAAATAAAATTCTCGCGGACTGTCAAAGTGTCACCTGGAAGAATCACTCCCTAGGGACGGGGAAGGAGGTTGTCTCCCTTAACGGACGACGGATCGCTCTCTTTGATGACGGTCGATGTGGGAAATCCCGCGCCGAAATACGTCGTCGTCGGCTGTCGATGCGACGTGAGATGCGACGACGGATGCACCACGCGCTGCGCTGCGCTCGGCTACCGATCGATTAATATTTAACGCGCACGGGGTGGCGGGGGAGTTGAGTGATGCGAACGAAGGAAAAGCGCCAAAGACGGGGACGTTTTCCCTCTCGGATGTAACCGCGCTCTCGCGATCGCGGACCACGGTCAGCACACGATGCACGCAGGGGGTGTGTTATTTCGTAGCAGCGATTACGCGACGAGACTTGTGGTGGACTGCTCGAACTCGGCGAAGCGTCTCGCGCACGGCCACCGTAGACCGCCCGAGTTGGTTGTCTCTATATAGCTAAGGATATCGACCATTTGGACGATGACGGGCGGGGGTCTCGTCGTCGACGACGATACGGCGGGGGTAGTAGGATCTGCGTCTGCGCGCCGCCAACAACCCCCGACTGACATCAATATAATCGTGAATAGAAGCACACCGGGCTCGCCGGGGGAGAGAGAGAGGACACTTGTTGATCCGCGGGGATATGGGCCGCGGATAACTCTCGTCTCGTACAACTTCCGCGACTTTCGATCCGGCGCCCTGAATCTTAATCCTCCGCGAGATCGCCAGTATTTTTGTGTTTTTTTTTCCCAATAGAATTTTTATTTTTGGTTATATTTAAATATAAAGGTGAAAAAATACTTTCTCAAATTAAAAAGTTGGAAAAATCTCTTTATTCCTCGTTGTTCATGGCACACATTTTGATTTGAAGGAAGAGATTTTTTGAATTTTATGAATTGGAAAAGTATCATTAGCTTTTTCTTTTCTTTCTCTCTGGAAAGAAAGTAATTCATATTCGTTTAACTCAATAATATGTAATATCAAAAATTATAAATTTTTGTTAAGAGGAAATCGATTTCACATTAATAAAAGAATCTGTCTTAAAATCTATTATTAAAATCTATCTTAATACGTATGGGCAAAATCCTACTGCGAATCTATGTCTCTCAGATAAAGACGACCACGTGTTCCATCTACAGCAATACCGAAGAACCACGAGTTATTCCCTATTTCTGTTGGTTGGCAAGTAGTTTCAACAATCATTTTTTAATATTAATTGGAATCAATATCACATCTCGATCGTTAGATACTTTCTTTCCCCTTAACAATATTTCCAATTTCTATACAGATAATAAGTATGATTATATGCATATTTAATTTGATTGATATCATGTTCTAATTTTTCTTGGAGTTAATGATATAATAGTCATGTTATTTTTCATTGATTCTATCTATAAAAAAAAGAGATTTTTTTAGAATATTATTTTAGTATTTTTGATCGGTTTATATAAACTAATAAAATAATAGATAAAATAATAAAAAAAAATTTGGCGGTATATGAAATATTAAAAAAGTTTATTAGGAATGGATTTTATTTTTTTTTTTACTTTTCTAAATTATAAGACACTCATAGATTATTTAGCTTATAAGCTCTTTATTATGTAAATTACAAAAAAAAGCATAAAAATAATATATACAACATTTTTATTTGTTCAAAATTCTACTTTATTCAAAATTCATAATTCTATTGAGAGCAAATATAAATCGTTTAATGAGTGAGAGATATTCGAGTTCATAAGAAAATATAATAGAGAAAAACATGATTTCATGTTTTATCAAAATTATATTTTTTTATGTTTAGTATTAAAGATCATCACAGAAGAATATGATATGTATAATAACTGTATCCGTGTTAGTACAGTAAAAGCTTAATTCTACTTATATTAGACATTAACGGTAATATACGGTCTTTACACTTGTCTATCAAATGTATATATCTAGTTTCAATAAAATACGAAAGTCTTTGCGAAATAAAAAAAAAGCTTCTATAAGTAACAAATCTTAAAAGCTTTTCCTCCAGCATTTCACTATTAATCGAGCAATGTTAGGAACGCTTTATGGCAACTGCAATTTTTTTAACGAAATAAATAAGATTGCTAATCCTAAGATTCTTCAATACATCATTAGCACTTCAAATATTCCTGGAAATATCTTAGAAAATTATATAATTTACGCGTCTAATCGTATAATTTTTTTATCTTCGCTTTATTATTTTTCAATCGATCAATCTTTATATCTATTAACTTTTCTTTATAGATTGCATTACTCGTTACCCGAGGAATGGTAATGGACTTTTTTAACGCGATAATTCTCGTTTGCATTAAATATAGCAGAAAATAAACCGCATATGCATTTAATCACACATGTTCATCAATTAAAAAAAAAATTCAAATATATCATTCAAGATTATATAAAAATCCATTTAAAAAAGATGTGCAATTACGCTTTGCGTTACTCATCCAGATATTGATATTTAATATCCAGATAAGTGATATTTAACAGAATACTCGAAATAATTACAATTTCCGCGAAGAATAAGATATATCCGAAGTGCAATACTCAATAATCAATTTGATCTGCGAATCTACAATCTACTCTCGATACTTTCGTCATGTACGATCGCCGGATTCGCGGCCGCCCACTTCTCCTTAATGACGTGCTGCTTCTGTGTAGGCCGTTCCTTTAAATTCTGTATACCGGCGAAATGTTCCTCGATCTCCCTTAAGGTCCTACCTTCGGTCTCGGGTAGCATCATGTATAAAAAGTACAGGCCGGCCAAGTTGACCAGAGCGTAGAAAATGAACGTTCCGGATAGCGATATGCCGTTCATCATGTAGAGGAAGGTTTTATTCGCGATCGATGATAAAATGTAGCCGACCATACCTGAAGCGCCGGTTGCGCTGCTACGTACCTATGAATTAGTGAATTTGAAAATCATTCGCGAAACACAAAGAATTTCTAATGCGTATAAGCACTTGAAAAATGAGTGCAGTCTAAATATGTTTAAATTTAATCTAAAAATTAATTTAAATAATTAATATTTGTGATTATTTTTAATTTATATTAATTTAATTAAATAAATTAAAGTAAAAACAGATTTAAATAAGATTAATAAAAATTAAGATGAGAACTACTGAAAAAGAAACATCGCAAAACGTACCTTGACCGGGAACACTTCGCCTATCAGAACCCAAGGCAACAATCTGATTCCGAAGTTCGACACGAAAGCGGCGCCAATCATGAGGGTAGTCGGCAACCAGGTATATCTGACTCCGTCAAAATAATCGGTATCACTCAGATAGCCGTAGATGGCAGTAACAATGAAACACAGACCGGTGCCGCTGACCGATATGAAGGATAGCTTGCGTTTTCCCAAGAAATGGATCACCAGCACGCAGACTATAGTGCCGACCAATTGAGCGACGCCCAAAAACACCGTGGCCATGTATTTGTCGATCGGTGCCTTGAGTTTCGCGAATATCAAAACGGCGAAAGTCTGCAGGGTCGAGGTGCCGCCGAAGGAGCTGATGAAGAAGGCCCCGCTCACTAGGATGAAGGGCACGTAGAACGTGCGTTTAGTGTAGGATCGCCAGACTTCCTTCTTATCGTCGGTGTTGTCGGCAGGCTTCTGGACTGTCTCGCAGATTGTTTGAAATTCATTCTGTACCTGCGACGGGTTTGCCCAACCCCGTAACCAGCAGAGAGCGCGTTCCGATTCCGCGAAACGACCCTTGGCTGAGAAAAACCAATATGTGTGTGAAATTAGTTAGTAAATTCATTAATAAATTTTTAAAACGAAAAGAAAAAATCAGATGTCACGAAAAAAAACGATGAAGAAAATCTTTTTTTTTTTTGTGCAAAATAATTGATTCGGGCCTTTGACTGATTTGTTAAATTATTTGTTAAAGTTTTCAAACAGATAAATAATTTAATAATATAAATAATATTAAGATAATTTTTGAAATGATTTAATAATCTTTACAATACGTAAATAATTTGACTGTGCGATTACCTGCGAGCCAGTGTGGACTCTCAGGTACTAAGCACAAAGCGAAGAAACAGATAACCGGATAAACCAAGTTGATCATTGCCACCGTTCTCCAATGGGCCAGACTACCGCTCAACATTTGCGTGAAAACACCCAGAATGACTGACATTGAAGAGGTCGCGGACAGCATTCCGCGCAAGTTAGGCTGAGTCACTTCGGCGACATAAGTCAAGACCGGCGCTTCCAAGAGGCCACCTGTCAGGCCTGTCATTGCGAGCGCGGTAAACAACATCGCAGGATTGCTAGAATAATAAAATATCAACCAGGCAATTACGAACGGGATATTTGTCAACATCATCGTTCGCTTCCTGCCCAGATACTGTGACAGCGGTCCGCTCACGAGACAACCGATTGGCACGAGAAACAAGTTTAGACTACCTGTGAAAGAAAAAAACATAATAATAAAAATATAAAGTAATTTATAAAATAACTTAATGAATAAATTTATTTCATATTACATATGAAAGAGAGAGAAAATTTAAATAAAATGATAATGTAATAAATTAATAATAATAATGTTTAAAAAATAATTAAATATGATTATATAGGTAATAGAAAATAATTGATGTATAATAATTAAATATAAATTAAATTAATTTAAACGTGTAGTATCAATATGATTTATAATATATACATAATAATATATAATAACTTTAATATTACGACTATTTCCATAAGTTTTAATTGATATGAATTTATATTACGATTAATTGATTTTATAAAAAGAGACAGAATAAGATTTTTTGGAAAAAATTTCTCTATTTATATTCCAAAGGAAAAACTCTACGAAAAATTCTAAATTATTCTCATTGTCAGCGTTATATTTGCGAATAGATTCTTACTAATCCATGTTAATTCTTCCGTAGTGACTTTGATGTCTGTATCTTCTCTTTGTAGTGCTGGAATGAGGATAGTCGCGAATCCTAAAGTTGAACCAAAGGCAAGCAGAAGTATATTTTTGGCGCCGACTGCACAGCATTGTGGTACTGCTTGTCGAAGTTTAGAAATGTATGCCACTTCAACCGACGTCTTGTCATCATTCCTAAAGTGTAGATAAGAAAAGGTGTGTATATTTCTATGCACGTTCTAATAATCACAGAATTATTTGGAATCGATATTTCTGATATATCTTTAACACAGGAATTAACCATAATTATTAAATTAATAAATATTGGAATTTCTTTAACGCATATATTATAAATTATTCTTATGTTTCATAAAAGTTTATCTAGATTTTCAGATAATAATTTTATTGTACTATATTATGTAAATTTTTTGTTTAAAATTACTGTTCTCTAAGACTATCAACTGTTTGGTGCTACGATAGGTCTTAGAACTTATTGTTAGCATACTTTTAAAGACCTTTAAAAGTCTACGTGCACCACATTGAGCTCTCAATCAGTCAAATAAACGGTCTTAAATAGACTTTACTCAACAACTCATTGTTAGTAGTCGGGCTAGAAGTCTTACGAATCCGCGATGTCGAATGAATTTATTTGCTAGATGATTGAACACGCATACATAATTAATTGGAGAAAGCAAAAAAAGCATATAAAATTATTTTATAAAAGATATATTGTGCTATTAAATTAGTGCAGCACCGGTCTCAATATTATATGATTAATAGAAATCTAACAAGAAACATATACATATATTAAGTTATTTTGGAATATCACATTTTGAATATAATATATATAAAGACAATTACACACAGACGTACATATATAATATATATACGTAAGTCAAAGTAAAAAACGTAATAGAGAAAACGAATAAAAATAACAACATGACACTTCGTGTATTGAGAAAAGTATGCGAGTTCAGTGAAACACAGCCTCTCCACTTTGTTAAAGCATAATCGACGATCCGTTTACAAAGCCTTTCACCTGATGTAATCGCATTGCTTTTGACGACAATCTCTGCAGCGATTCTGAGATTGTTATTTCGCGGAACGGCCTACATAATTCTTGGACTCACGTGCATTAAAAAAAAGATCTACATTTTTCATAAATTGTTTCTTTCAATGGACAATTTAACAAGTCTTCAATAAAATTATTTTTAATCATTGACAAACTAATCGGCAACTGTAATTTTATGCCGATATTGTTTAAACTACATTTTTCTGCATATCATGTTTATTTATCAAAAATGAATTATTTTTACATTTCAATCACATAAAAAATTTTGGCAGCAAATTAAAAACGAGAAGATTCAATCTTTTATTACGTGACATCACATAGTACACTTTGTCTCTTTACTTTGTTAATTATTTCATTAAAAAGTTACAGCTTCAATATTTAATGCTATAAATTATAATATTCAGAAGATATCTGTGAAAAAATACAATAGCATTGAATATTTATAAAATTATTTACAGTTTATAAGTAAAGGAAGGATATCATTTATTATATAAATGATAACATCTGTGTTATTAAAGGATAGGAAATTAAAATAATTCGATAATATCAATAAGAGAGTTGGTGAAAAATGGCAAACTGGTTGACGATAATCCACATGTTGTATTGTGCAAACGTTCAAGAACACGCGTGATGATTACATAAGCGCAATGACGATTGAGGCACCTTTTGTGTCGAATCATGTGAGTTTATAACCGCTAGCATCACACGAAGTACCGGCGAACAATGCGATGATTAGTGAGTGTGAATGGATTATTTACGCAAGGTCGTGGTAAAACGCGAATATAAATATTCTCTTCCTAATTGTTTTCTCGCGCATGTATAATTAGCATTATTTTCTCTCTTTTTCTCTACCCGCAATAAATCATGGATTTGTGATATCGATGTACGACGACTGGCTTTAGGCAAAATATTTCGTTCGCGGGTGCGTGTCTATTTCCTCATTCTGAATGAAACGAGCCCGGTGATGATGTAACATGTTCAATCATATAACGCAATCTCGTTTTTGCCACCTGTTCGAGCATGTAAACGTGTTTGTTTGCCCTTTCTCACTTGCACATACGTATCGCATTTTTTAATGTTTCTACTAAGAGATCTTATTTGTATATAGAAAGTAAAGAGATGCGTAAATTTACAAGTTATGTCTGAGATAGACATAATTTGCAAACACGTTTTCTTCAACAGTTTATCTAACGAACAGACGTGTTTGTTTGCCCTTTCTCACTTGCACATACGTATCGCATTTTTTAATGTTTCTACTAAGAGATCTTATTTGTATATAGAAAGTAAAGAGATGCGTAAATTTACAAGTTATGTCTGAGATAGACATAATTTGCAAACGCGTTTTCTTCAACAATGGTTCTTTAATGGTTAATTTTTTCGTCACTTTTCTTAATTTTAAGCATTAAATACTTTTGATCTAAATTAAAATTCTGTTTGGAAAACGCAGACGAGAGTTAAGTACGATTTTAAAAAATTCGTCGGTTATAACACTTTTAATTGAATGTTTTTTATATGTCGAAGAATTTATTAAATGGTACTTGATGGTATGTAGCGTCTAATCAAACTCGGATGCGATTTTAATTGCGCTTAAAATATGCCAATCGAGTGTCCTTTGTACGCACGTAACATCGCGTCGAGTTTAACGTCATTCTATTAAAAGAATATTTATTATGCTATAGTATTATTGCTGAGAAGGAAATAAATTTTATCTGAAGACTACACTTAGAAACAATCGTTTTGCGAGTCATCTGATTCTCAGCAACGCTGAGTTATTAGGTTTTGCCATTATTTTACGTTTTACTTTGTCATAATAATGAACGCTAAAATATGATACAACCTATTCGAATTTCTATTATTTGAATATTCTATTATTTGAATATTCTATTATTTCTATTATTTGAATATTCTATTATTTGAATATTCTATTGTTTGCACAAAATTTACTTTTAAAATTATTTGAATATTCTATTATTTCTATTATTTGAATATTCTATTATTTGAATATTCTATTGTTTGCACAAAATTTACTTTTAAAAGAAAATACGTATACTCACTTTAAAACATTAATGATGTTAGATAGTTATCGGAAAATTTGCTTAAAGCCGAACGTTTATATCTCATTATAATTTAAATAAACAACAAAAACTCAATTGCAATATTTTTAACATCACGATAATATTTTTCCGCTAAGAAAACTCCATCTCTGCAATGTTTATATAGTTCAAAAAATTCCGAGAATATTTATAGTAAGAAATATCGTGAAATACGTGCAGAGAATATCTTGTCGTACGTGTTTCATTTTTTTTTGTAGATAAACGTTACTCTATTTTTATTTCGGACAGTTATTCGTCAAAAATAATAAAAATATGTGTCATAGTTAAGCGTAATCTTTATCATTGACAATAAGTAGTGTCGTTACGCATTTACGTCATTATGTATCACATAGCAATTGGGTCAAACCCGCAAAAGAGCTCTTTTCCGGGCTTTTCAAACGCGCTGCAGTAAATTATTGCATTGCGACGGTGCTTAACGATGTCGATAAAACGATTATTATATTAATGAGATTTTTTATCACCTGATTGAATGCCGAATGCAAAGATGCTTCATCTCGCAGACACGTCTCTGACGCAAAGAGTATTAACGAGTCTCGACTCACAAAAGCATCATTAATGCCATAAGATTGTCGGCCAGTGACCTACTTGCAAATACAGGTACGATTATTGTTTGTTGCAATTAATGATCTTTAATTGATAGCACGCCACTTGAATTATATTAATATCAAGATTACATAGTTTTTACTAAAATACAAAATTTACATTTTTGTCATTTAATCCATGTTCTGTAATAAGCGAACTGCATCTTATTTATCAATCATTTATCGCGATTAAGAAAGTTTTAAAAAGGAATAATTAATGAAAATTTAGAAATTTGTCAAACTTACGATCAGAATGAAATAGACGAAATATTAGAAATATTCTTGATAGAAAAAGTATTTTTTGGATAAAATATGCAATAAAATGTTGAACTTTTACGACAATATTTTTTGTTTTTAATTTTATACTGTAATTGCATTAATTTAAGAATGATATGTGTAAAACGCATTTGGCTGTGATGTGCGTTTTTGTTCTTTCAACAAAGTATAAAATATATATGTTACGTAAGTATATGTAACGTACGCTAGAATAGTTTATGTGAACAAAAAAAAAAAAATTGTTAGAAATTATGTGGTCGGGAATTCAATAATATCTCACTTCCTGCAATTTCCTTAATGCCTCCACAGTTTCACCGACAACTGTAAACTTATTCGCAGAGATACCCTTTTCTGACATAGTCAAAAAACAAAAATGAAAATATATATGTTTATTACGAACATGTAGCATAAACGCAGCCTATAGAACATTATAAATTTTAGTGACTCGCGGATATAAACTGACATATGTAATTCAACGAATTCACGAAACTGTAACAGTTGTTTGCATTGCTCTTTTTTTTAATTTATTGATATTTACAGTTTATATTTCCTTTTATAATATTTTAACTTTTTATATTTTTTAAATTAATTAATTATTTTAATTAGATAATTATATCAATTCGATGAGTAGAATTATTAGCAGAAAGTTTTAAGTGAAACTAAATGGAACAAATAATAAAGAGTAGACAATAATAATAACTGTATTCGTAGTTAATATTACTTAATAATAGATTCTGTTGCAAATTATCGATATAAATCAACATGCCATATTTCGTCTAACTCGTACGCAAAAATATATTGGACAAAAATAGAAATAGGAAGAGTAATTTTTTTTGTCATTTTCTTTGTAGTATATGTATATTTAATCGTTTAGCAATATCTGTAGAACGATAATTCACACTATGCAACGCCAGAAAGTTTGATTTCGCGAAAATATATGTCATTAACGCGTTTTTCTATCATGAAGTTTGCCTCGAAATCTATTGTTATAGATACCATCGACGTCTTGTGGCTTTCGAATATTTAATTCTTTACATGATTTATTAATTTTTTATGTAATTTTGAGGTCGATTAATCTCACATACATCCGCGAACAGAAACCCGTTATGAAAGTTGATAAACGGACATTTTTATTAATTTGTTTTGATAATAACTTGGGCAAGTAGTTTGTTTCCGTTATGCATGTTATTAAGGCTACGAATTCTTTATATGCATCCTAAATATTCGCATTAATTAAATCTTCGATAAATCGATAAACAAGATTCTACAATCAAAATCAATGCATTATAAATGTTATTTCTAATAACTGGAAATTTACGTAAAAAAAATAATAAATTTTCTTTTTTTTTTTCTTACGGGTTAAGTTTATCATTTAGAAAAAATATAGTGTTTTTTATTCATGACATTTACATCTTCTTTTACCAGGAAGCTTAAATCTCGTAAAGAAATAAATTATCTCATAATCATAAATATCCTCGAGCAAAAAAATAAATTTTCTTAACAACATTGTTTCCACTCGAGAAAAAATTTTATAATGATGTTGCGGGTATCTAAAAGAATAGTTGTTCGGAATCTCTCACGAATCATTAAGATGCAAAATACAAAATTTAAATATGACGAACCTCTTTCCGTTTTCTACGCATTCGGTCGCTGCCATCTTCGCGGCTCGATCCGCTTGCGATTCAATCTTCGGGTCTTAGGCACGTGACTCGCGTGCGATATCAGATTCTCCGTTGCATATCGAGGGAAGGACGGCGGTGTTGGTACAAGGATGACCTCCTTTCGAAGCAGAACAATGTAAAATTAGATTCTTGTATAAAGTCACCGATTTCGATTCTTCGGCGTACAAGCGCTTAAAGCTCGCTTATTTATATGACGCGAGAGGAAAGAATTGAAAGCAGCCAAGGAGAAGAAGAGAATCGCAATAAGTTCTGTTGTACAAACGGCGGATTTGCATTCGCAAAGATCGTATCGTGAGAGTTTAGCGAGCCGATTATGTGCTCGGTGCATTACAGCTTCAATATCTATGTTTACATTTGATAAGCGTGCGATTTTAAAAAGTGTAGGGTATAGTATAGTATAATTTGCACATAAATGATACGCTAGAGACCAAAGAGTAGCTAAATTAAGAAACATTAATGGAAATTGATTTTGCAGATTTGTATAATAATCAGAATAAAATTTGCAATGCAGAGCAGAGTAAATGATTTATTAGAGCAAATGATTTATTAGATCTTATTTTTATTTTAGTTTATTTTATTTAATTATTCACTATTGTGTGATGAGTAATATATATAATATACGAGTGTTAATATATTTAATGTATAAATATATCTCTCAAAAAATTTATAGATAGTTTAAATCATTACAAAACATCCTGTATAAAAAGAATTAATGAATCAATATATTATATTAAAATATTCGATATTATATGGGAAAAGAAATTTTTTTTTATGTACCTTGATACATCTACTTGTCATACAAAATTCTTTCGCTCGGGAGGAGTTTGATTGTGCGATTTTCGTGCTCACCTGATTGCAAGCGTCCTGACAGAAGATATTAACAATTTTTTTGATGCTTCTTCTACTTCGCGGATAATCAGCTTTCTTGTAATTTCATGACCCTTGAAACAGAAATCTCCTTTTTATAGCTACTTTTAGCTGTAATTATAGCTTTAATTATAATACTTCATAAAATTTAAACATTCCAAGTCGAGTATTGCACTAGAAATGCCACAAGTATAATTACGTTTCGGCGCGTAACAAAACTAATTATTTGTCAGATAAAATAACAGTGTTGTGCATTTTTTCTACTATTTTGTTATTATGTGGTTAAACGCGAATTGAATGTCATTGTATGTAGACGATTGCAAAGCTCGATGGCGATTAAGGTGTTAGTAATTCAATGTTTTTGTTTTGGTTGTAATTCATTCTAGTCGGTTTGTCATCTGTATTTGTCAAAATGGAAATTCTCTTATAATAGAAATCGTCGTTTCTTTTTCTAGCTCGATGATAATCTTGAATATTTCGTTATCATCAGCTATTTTTTTTTTAAATACACACCTTTAAGATATATAACTGGTATCCTCGTTAAAAGTGAAGAGAAAATAATCAAGAAAATTTTAGATATATACTTTTTGTCAAAAATTAATTTATAATTCCGTCGAAAAAATTTGTGGAAGTTTGCTTTCACTGAACAGAACAATATCGATTAATGAATCGTTTCGTGAAGAAGTTGAAAGAATTATTAACCAGTCGCACTTTTTTCCTTTTCTATTTTTATTTAAATCTTTAATAAAAAAATCTTCCTCATATAGCGGCGTAGCAATAGATTTCAAAAGTTTCTTTCTGGATTTTGTCTGTTTTCAAAAACAAATCTTTTTCGCTTTAGCCGTTCCAAGATCGCGAAAAAAGAGAGGCAAATTGTTCACTGACAGAACTGCAGTATCTTGTCGCGGCGCGAGAAATTGTGTCGTTCACAGAAAAATATCCAAAAAATTCCGAGGAGAAATCACGATCGAAGTGGAAAGCGGTAGAAAATAGTGAGAAAGAGGTTTACATTAGATCGGGACGTCGCGATGGACTAAACACCGCGCGGCGCGAAAGCCACGAGCAAGCTGTACTTTCAATTTTGAGCTCCCTCCTTCGACATCTACCTTCTCTGTCCTCCCAATGGAGATTGGAGCCGAATCGGTACATGTACGATGTACGTGCTCATACGTGACCTCTTCTTTTCCCTTCTCTTGCCACCGGTCATTTTGTCGTAATTATACCCGCCACATGTACACGCGATGAGCGGCTGTCAGGACAACGTGAAAGGATTGAGCGATCGGTAGATTTTCCGTCTAAAGAGCATTAATTATATAAAATTCATTTAAATTAATGTTTATAAAAAAAAAAATCGGTATGGCTTTGCACGCACACACTTTAATTTGTGTTAATTGCCTAAAATGTAGAATTTTTTTCTTTATATGATTTGTCACGTAACAACAATTTTATTCATGCACAAATGTCACACGAATGTCAACTTGTCTAGTTGATACTAAAACGTTATCTTAAATAAGAGTTAACAATGATACTTAAACATAATCAAAAATCTTCCAAGACCACTTTTGACATTATCACATCCTGCAATGGCATGTCGATAAATTCTACTTAATTTGATAATTTTGTGTTTTTTTGCGAAGAAGTTCTCTGCGAAATTAATTTCTTTTATTAATTGTACTAATTACTTATTTCATATTTATGTTTATGAATATTAAAGGTCAAATATTATTAGATATGCATGCAAAAAATAGAAAATATGAATGTATAGCCTGCATATATAACATAGATAAGAAATAATTATCTCGAATCTTACAGCTTTGAACAGTGGAAATAAAAAAATAGTTCTGTTTTTAAATAGATGAACTTAATGCATTTTCTCCTTTCCTCGAATATTCTTTTCTAAAGAGAAGTTATAAGCAATGTATGTGTGTGTGTGTATCTGCTCATTACTATAATCATTGAAAAGTGATGGATAACGTATTGGCACGTCGGTAATAATGTGCCGCTACGTGTCCCACATTATACTATTCTCCGCAATTTGTGTGTGTTTCTGACGCTATGTTGGAAAATTCTTCTAGAAAATATTTTTGTCTTATTTTGGCGTTAATAAAAAATCAATTACAATTAAATAGTTTTTAATCATTACTTCTGTTCTTCATTAGCTTTATTCGGTCGCTACTTCTCTTGTCTTTTCATTTTATATATGTGATTAATAACTTGTGAATGTATGTTACTGTTCTTTTCATTTTTTTAAATAATTGTTTATTTTATATCCGTCAGGTATAGTTTGTATAATCGACATTCATTTCAGTTTGATCAATTTTCAATGCAATGTGCTTCAAATATGTTTTTATTGTCGCGAATAAACATAAAGATCATTTTTCAATGTTTATGGTAACCGAAATACGAAATTGCCGAAAATGCTTCTTTTACCGTTTATCTGCTTACATATTACTGTAATAAGAAAAAAAATATTATTCCTTAGAGAACAGATATTAATCATAAATCACTTATTTTACAAGAGCCTTAGTGCTTGGCGCATAATTTTGTTCACAAACGTATAATAAGGAAAGAGACCAGGTATTAAAGATTATGTTAATTGTTGGTTACATTATCATCATACATATTGTCTGGTCGCGGATTACATCGCTTTTATTTCAGATGTCATTGAACTCTTAACTCATATTGTTAATAGTATCAATTTTTTCATTTCGAGAAGCGATTAAGATCGCTGATTTATATAATATCAAGCAGCGACAGCGTCATTGACTGATATAAGATTGTACATAGTTTGCATAATTAATCATAGTATAACAATGTCGTAAGGTTTCTATATAAATTCATTTTTTTTAAGCCTAGTTTTTTTTTATTAAGTATCAGTCAAGAACGAAAAATACGACGATTTTTTATCCCGCTTAATGCTGGTTATGTCGTACGTTAATATTATCAGTTCTCTTATTAAAATATATATAAATAATTCATCTCTCCCTCTTTCTTTGAACACACAGTTGACGAGACTTTAATCGCTGTTGCACTTATGTAAAAGAGAATGCATTTGTTGATAAATTAAAAATACTTATAAGATTCGTATACCAAGTGTGAAGCGTGAACCGTGTCATGTAATGCGCAGACGCTCTGCGCATTAAGGTTTGTTTAAAGTAAAATAATTCCAAATTGCTCCTCCTGATATTTAATATTTTATTCCTATTCCTAATATCTCCTCTATTGTGCGCAGGGCCTAAGGTGCCATTACATGGCAGCATCGAGCATCGAGAATCGAGCATCTGCATCTGCACAAAAATTATTGCGCAGGAATCTAAATGAGATAGATTCCAGCTTCTTGTGCGGTTAATAGCATGATGAGTGATATGAATTCGGTCGAGATAAAAAAAATTATATTCTGATACACATTACTAATACTGAAAATTAATTATTTGCATTACACATTACTAATACTGAAAATTGATATTTATTTACATTATACACAATAGATATTATTATTAAACAAAATATATATAAAACGTGTTACTATCCCCCCAGCAGAATATTAGAATCTAATCAAGAATTAAGAGATATAATTTTCATAATTTTTTTTCTGCATGTTTATAACATACTGCTCCTTTAAATCATTTCCTACTTTTAACAATAGTTTTTCAAACTCTGTCATTTTGTCATTTGTGAATCCTTTTTTTGTATCTTATTTACTTGAATATTTCAACCATCTAAAACCTCTTGCTGCATTTGTATTTTAATTTTATTTTAATTTACACTGCCAGAGTAGTAACGTTTTATAATATATTTTTGATTAATAATAATAATAACACACACACATCCCGCAACAGATTCCGCTAGAGTATAATATAATCTGTTTTCATCTGTTTTTCATTTTTAGTTAACAATAGTAAGATAACATGAGAAAAAACTGGGAATAGTATTACATTTTTTGATTGAAGAAAGAAGAAATGGCAGAAGCCCTAGCTACATCGATTTCCTATACCACATGCACAATGAAATAAAAACATTTTTTAGTCAGTAAATAATTTTTTAATCAGTTACTTTTCCAGTTACCAATATTCGAATTCTAACTCTTTTGTAACAATGATGTTTGTTATCCACCTGTTTTGAAAAAAAATTCGATTGAGATTTTGTATTCAACGATTGTATTTTTATTTGATTGTATTTTTATATTGCAAATAATATATCATGTCAGATTATATATAAGTATACACATTTATCATGATTTCTCGTTAAACTTTTTAAAGCTGTCGACTTTGTCAATATTTTGGTACGCGTATTCGGAGTTGTTATTACCTGTGACCTGAGACGAATTAAATCAGTTGTAATCGAGACGCGGCTTGTACAACACGAAACATAAACACTGCCTTGCGGTAACGAACGTTCTCAAATAACTTTCATTATGTGTGGGTAGCTTCTCTTTTGTTTTAGTTTATGAAAGTTTTAATAGTTTAATAGTAAACGTATTGCGTTCACACTTGTGTGTGGAGCCTAGAAAGAAGAAGCGAAGATAGATTGTGACGAACAATTCGGCTATTTTGCTAAGAACAAAAACAATTGAAAAGAATTAGAATCTGATGGAATCTAAGTGCATTTTTTTAAGTGTGTCGATATAATTTGATAACGTATCAATGAGAAAAGTTATTTTTGTCACACATAACTAACGTTACGCACTTTCAACTTTATATAAAACGAAAAGGAGCGACAAATATCTCGGTGATCTTCATCACGTATTACATATTATATACATATAAACATATTTTTTGTGGTTCTACTAACTACCTCCCAGAGCTACGGACTGGACATAAATTTTTCACAATCAACGCTACGTCGATCTTTTTGCGGAGTAGAAATTTTTATTCGCAAAAAGTATAATTGAATTCAAAATTTCTGCACCGGGTAGGATCATCTTAAGCGGGGACCATTCTATGATGTATGGAAGAAAAGTTGTGGCGGCCGGCCTCGACTTGCGAACAAAAATTGAATTCTGTGAAACTGTCACTACTGATGAAATCATTAGGGTATATTTACCCAATGTTGATATGTCCGTAGAAATATCCGTGGAGTTAATCCAAAAATTTGCATCGTCTGCACTATTTAAAGATAAACTGATTAATAATCATGTGTCATTACTGAAGCAGATAGAATATTTTATCACCTCAAACGGTATGTGGGGAAGTGGAAGGATAGAGTTTTATATGATAATCTGTGGAAAAACCTCTTTTGAGGCATGTGGGAAGGACAGGACTGATTGATTTAAATATTTGTCAGTCTAAACGTGAACAACTAATAGATATAGCCCATATGAAACTGTTTTGAGGCATGTGGGAAGGACAGGACCCGAGCGGAATTGAACCTGGAATCTCTCGATTACCAGGCCGCGATTCTACGCCCGGCGCCACGCGTCGCCCCGATAGAATATATCACCTCAAACGGTATGTGGGAAACATCCGCAGAAATTTAGTATAAAAATATTTGTTTTTTTGCTTCTGTTTATCGCTCACCACGAGATGTTGGATATAAAAAGTTTCAAAGTGCGTTTGACCACGCAATTACTAATGAGCGTTGGTCTTGGTAGTTCGACATCGTTCGCAGTATGTCTTGCGGCATGCTTTCTATATTGGGCGCGTTTGCAGAAAGGTGACCATAATGCATTTAATCATGAGGATATAATATTGATCTCAAGCTATGTTATGTAGTGCGAAGAAGTTATAGAGAAACATATAGTTAATATAGATCATTTTGTGTGCACATTCAGCCGGGGATTAATCTTCAGTCATACAAAATCGTTAAAGAATAGTTTCACGTGCTTAAATATGTCAGAAACGAAGATCTTGCTGATTGATTCAAATATTTGTCAGTCTAAACGTGAACAACTAATAGATATAGCCCATATGAAACTTGATAATAGAGAGAACTTTGACCGTAATTTGGATGCGATAGATATTATATCGCAGAAACTTGCTACAACACACACACACACACACACTTCATGAAATAAAACATAATAAACGGGAGAATATGTTTGAATTAAGCGCTTTATATGACAAGCTAATGGTAAGTCTTTTGTTTCTTTGCTCTCGAATACATCATTATCCGTTATATTGTTTTTCAACTTACATTTCTGAATGTTTTGTTTGCAGGATAACATTAGGTTAAACCAAGAGAATTCATACAAGTTAAATTTATCCCACCAAAATTTGGATATTATTTTTGCAATTGCGAATATGTTTGGATTCACAGGAAAAGTGACAAGTATTGGAGCTAGATATGTATTAATTCTGTTGTTGCCGTTTAGTCACGCAAAGGTTGTTGCTGATTTTCGCAAATTGTTAAAAAAACTACACTTTAATAGCTACATGACCAAAATATGTTGCAGTGGAGTAAAACTTGACGAGGTATGTTAAAATTATATAAAAATAATTGAATAATTGAATAATATGATTAATTAAACTAAGCGCGAATAATGTAGTAAGATTATAAATTTCATTATAGTTATATTATAAGTAAGAAGGGACGAACAATATACAGTTTTATATAATATATTTTTTTCGTTACTTAAAGTTTCTTTTCTTTCAATAATATCGTATTGATTTATGAACGATCATAAATCATTGTAAATATATTAATTGTAGAATTTATCAAAAAAATTAATTTTTTTTGTACGCCACTCATTTGAATTATATTATTTCTTTAGTTCATTTTGTTTTGTTTTATAGGTTGACTCTGATGATACGCTAGGCCCATGTTTAATAGACTAAACCTTTGTTTATATGTCTACTCAAAATACAAAAAATTAGTAATAGTATTATAATTCAATCTATAAAATAACAAGAGTAGCACTATTTATTCTTTGCTTCAAAATTATAATTGAATTATATAAAATGATATAATTCGATATACGAATACTATTTTACTTATATTTTACCTTATACTTCAATTATAAAATAATCTTGTCAAGGAATTTTTTTTTATGTTTGCTGCATAAAATATTACACTCGCATACACAGGGAAAATGTAGCCGCATTTATACTATATGCTGTATAAAACATCAATACGTTAATTGAACCAATACAAATAAGATAATAATAAGGATTTGTTTAATATTATATTGTAAGAACTAAGAATAATTTTTAGATTATACATATATAAGATTTGAATAATTTCTTATTAAAACATTTAAAAAATTTGACTTTGTAATCGATGTTTAGGTTCATGGCTTTGGAGTGCTATTGTTATTGAAACAAGATCATTTATAATGAAGATATGAAAACAAGAATATAAAACAAAATATAAACTGTTTTGTGCAGAAACAAATATTCTCGAATAATTTTCATCGTTTCGACTTTTTTTTTTTATCGTTATTATAAATTTTCAATAGTTAAAAATAATATCGATTATTCAGATTTTTTTTGTATATGTGGAGTCTTGAAAATAGAAACAAAAATAATTTATGACTTTTATTAACAACAAATGAAAACAACGGCAAAGAACAAAAATTTGATTGAATTTTAAGTACATTTTTTTATACAGAGTAAAAATTCGATAACATATCGATAAATTATTTTTGTCATACAACCGATTTAATAATAAATTTATAAATTTTGTGTATATATATAT